TTTGCTCCAACTTTCACATTCCAATCACAATTAATTATCAATGCATCTTGATTGCATGTTTGATCAATTTCAGACTGCAGAAGTTGGCAAAAATCTTCAATATTTTCATCTTTGGCATTAATAATTGATGCATAAATCATAAATTTGAATAATATTCTTATTTATTGATCTTTCTTGTAGGTGTATTGATATTATCCTATCACTGACAGCACTGTACTTCAGGACAGATCTTGAAATATTCGTTTTGACAATGAATGCAACACCATTCCTCTTCAATTTGTCATCCCTGGTATAGTAGACTTTATGATTGTCTGATTCAAAATGTCCAATTCCAGTCCATTTCAGCTCACTAATGCCTAAGATATTGGTCTTTATTCGGTCTATTTCATTTTTGACGAGTTCCAATTCTCCTAGATTCATACTTCGTACATTTCATGTTCTGATTATTAATGGATTTTTGCAGCTGTTTCTTCTCATTTTGAGTGGTGCCACCTCAGCAAATGATGGTCCTGAAAGCTTTACTCCATTCATGTCGTTAATGGCGACTCTACTTTGAGGAGGCAGTTCTTCCCCAGCCATATTTTGAGTGACTTCCAACTTCAGGGACTCATCTTTTGGCACTATACCAATGTTCCACTGCTATTCTTTAGGCTTTCACTGGCTAATTTTTCAGAAGTAGACTGCCAGCTCCTTCTTCCTAGTCTGTCTTAGTCTGGAAGCTCAGCTGAAATGTTTCCACGATGGGTGAGCCTGCTGGTATTTAAAATTCCAGTGGCATATCTTCCAGAATCACAGCAACACGCAGGCCACAACAGTACAACAAACTGACAGATATATGTGGTGCTTGAGAGCAATTTGTTCTCTTAAGTAGTTTAAATTACTCCTCCTTGGAAATATCATTACCCGTAATTTTGTAAAAATCAGCTCTGTCTTTCTAGGGAGGGCACGTGTAAACTCTGAGTATAACTGCTCACTATATCAAGCTGCCTAACTCAATCGTGTCCCCATTACATAACAGCAATGTGGTTTTGGGAAAGTTAAATCAACTATCTGTGCCATCAGTTTCTCATATGTAAAATGAGGGTAATAGCAATTCTCATCCCATAATTTACTGTGAGATGACATTTAAAGCAGTTTCTGACACACATAGATGCTCACCAAATGTTGTTGTTGTTGTTAGGTGCCGTTGAGTCATCTCCAACTCATGGCATCCTTGTGTATAATAGACGGAATATTGCCTGGTCCTTCACCATCCTCATGATTATTAGCATGTTTGAGTCCATTGTTGCAGCTGTTGTATAGTGCCTTCCAGCCAAGGAGGCTCATCTTCCAGCACTATATCAAACAATATCCTGTTGTGATCCATAGGGTTTCCATTAGCTAATTTTCAGAAGTAGATCACCAGGACTTTCTTTCTAGTCTGTCTTAGTATAGAAGCTCCTCTGTAACCTGTCCACCATGGTGACCCTTCTGGTATATAAAATACTGGTAGCATAGCTTCCAGCATCACAGCAACATGCAAGCTACCACAGTACAAAAAACTGACAGATGGGGGGAGCACCGAATGTTAGCCACAATTATATGATCAAAAGATGTAAATTATTCCAAAGCAAATGGAATTTTTACACATGCAAGTTAATCTAAGAGAGTCTGGCAGAAGGGGGAATAGGAAGCAACTACACAGGGTTCCCTTTTGCGGTAATGAACATATGTTGGAACTAGGTAAGAGTGGTGATTACACAACATTGTGAATGCACTGTCACTGAATTGCCCATTTAAAAATGGTTAATTTTATGTTATATAAACTTCATCTGAATAAAAACAATTTAAAAGTTAATCTAAGCACTAAAATCATGAAAATTAAATAGAATAATATGTGCCAGAGGAGAAATCAAACTGATTTTGCTTAAGCTATGTGTCCCACCTTGCTCTCAGTACCTAGCAGCTCTTGGCACGTAGTTTGTTGAGTGAATAAACAAAGGAATGGTTCCTTGAGTGATTTCATTTCACCTCACCCCTCTGTGTGTTTTCACGAAAGCCTGAGTATTTCCAGGTGGGCTGTTTGCTCTGAGAATTAGCCATTGGAGGGTATGAGAAATGTTGAAGTTTATTTCTGTGTATGACTCAGCTGACAAAACTAATTTCTTTTTCATCATCTGCTCTTCATGGACTTTCATTGATCCTTCTGTGTAAACCAATGCCTGTCAGCATCTTCAAGCCTGTAATAGTGATCACAGTGTTTAGGAATTGAATAAGAGACTGGAGATCTGTGTATGTGTGTGTTCATAAGTGTGTGTGTGTGTGCAAGAAACAGAGGGGGCAATCCTGTCCAAAAGCAGGACGAGAAGGCAGGAAGGGACAAGAACTGGATGAATGGACACAGGGAACCTGGGGTGGGGGCGTGGAAAGGGGTGGTGGTGGTGGAAATGTGCTGTCACATTGTGGTGATTGCAACCAACCTCACAAAACAATATGTGTATAAATTTTTGAATGAGAAATTAGCTTGAGCTATAAACTTTCACCAAAAGCACAATTAAAAAAAAAAAAAAAAGCCATGTAAAGGAAGGAATGCATCTACTTTTTTTTTCAACTTTTTTTTTTTAATTGTACTTCAGGTGAAGGCTTACAGAACAAATAGTTTCTCATGAAACAGTAGTACACATATTGTTTTATGACATTGGTTAACATCCCCACAACATATCAACCCTCTCCCTTCTTGACCTTTTCTTTTTGGTGAAAAAATACATAGCCAAAGATACACCATTTCAAAAATTTCTGCATGCACGGTTCAGTGACATCGACTACGCTCTTCCAATAGTGCTGCTATTCTCACTTTAGATGAAGGCTTACAGAACAAAATAGTTTCTCATTTAACAGTTAGTACACATGTTGCCCTATGACAATGGTTAACAACCTCACATCAACACGGTCCTTACCCAACCTTGGGTTCCCTATCACCAGCTTCCTTGTCCGCTTCTGCCTTCTGGCCCTTGTCCTTGGACTGCTGTACCTCATTAGTCTCATTTGGTTTTATGGTGAACCTCAGAAGTAACTTCACCTCTGAGCTAAAAGGGTGTCTGGGGGCCATACTCTTGGGGTTTCTCTAGTGTCCTTTAGGCCAGTAAATCTGTTCTTTTTTTTTGTGAGGTAGAATTTTGTTCTACGTCCTTCTCCAGCTCTGTCCAGAACCCTCTGTTGTGATCCTGGTCAGAGCAGTCAGTGGTGGTAGCCGGGCACCATCTGGCTGTACTGGACTCAGTCCGGTGGAGGCCTAGAATGCATCTATTTTTTAAAAACATGGTTATCATCTTTCTTATTTAAGTAAACATTTCACAACTAAAATAGGTTGTAATCAAATAAACTATTTACAATTAGGAAAAGCATTGGAATACTTGAGGTAACTAGATGAATATTTTCTACAAAAGAAAAGCCTACTTATTAAATAGCAACTGGTAAAAGGAAACACAACAATTATTCTTGGAAACAAATACAATCATAACAATATTTTTCCACTTATTATTATTTAAAAAATATATTACTGTTAACAGAAATCATTAAATAATGCAATAGATTAGCAAAAAGCGACTGAAATGATGAATAATTAAATGATTAAAAGAAAGCACCGTTTAAATAATCTAATCTCTGAAGTTGAATGTCTAGGCACCGGCCCACCACTTGATTCACTCTGCTGTATCAGACATGGGCAGTCCAGGCGGGTCTGTCAGCCCATGTATGTAGGAGAGACAGGAACACATCTTCTACTTGTTTTTGGTAGGGAGCACTGCCAAGTTCAGTTGTCATGGGGCGAAGAGTCAGATAAACTAGATTTATGTCTTGGAGCTGCCTCAGATTGTATGGTCTATATAGGAGTTTTAGTCTTGTTAAGGCACAGATTTCTCATCTAACAAATGGGACCAAATGAGTGCTTTGTTACTCAGGTGTAGTGCACCTGTCATGCAGAAGTTCTGTCTGACTCATTCTCCTCCTTAATATACAGTGCAAGCATGTTTATGATAAGCAAGTAGTTCCTCTAAATAAAATAGCATGGTTCCTCGAAGAGTTCAACATAAATTACCAAATAACGCAGCAATTCCAGTCCCAAGTACATACCCAAAGAACTCGAGAAAAGAAACAAAGACAGACACATATATGCCAGTGTTCATTGCAGCACTATGCACGATAGCCAAAAGGTGGGAACAACCAAAACGACCATCAACAGATGGACAGATAATGTGGTACAGACATACAATAGAATGTTACACAGCCGCAAGGAGAAATGAAATCCTGATAGGTGCTACAGCATGCGTTAACCTTGAGAACCTCATGCTAAGTGAAATATGTCGGTCACAAAAGCACAAATAGTGTATGATCCCACTTAGATGAAATATCTAGGGTAGGTAAGTGTATATAGGCCTAGGGTTATTAGTGGTTACTGGGGGCAGGTGGAAGGGAGGGGGAAAAAGACTCACTGAGTAAGGAGCACTGAACTTCTATTAATGGTGATTAAAAAAAATTGAAAATGGAATAATGATGATGGTTGAACAACATGGTGAACGTAATTAATGCCACTGAGTTGTATGTGTGAAAAATGTTAAAATGACAAATGTTTTGTTAGATATATATTTACCACAATTAAAAAAAAGGATTTTTTAAATTATTATGGGTTCTTGAAATAATGTTAGTAACAGGTATTCCTTGTGTAAATGATTTTTTCTTTTTTTTTTTCCCCATCCTAAACTTAGCATAGTTGGTAATTTATATGTTATTATTGTATCTAAAATTCCAGGCTATACTTTTTGGGAAACATTGATTACTGTTCAAAGCACCCCTACTTTTTTGCAATTTGCAACTTATCTTTTTCTAGTAAAAATGGTAGTTAAAGTTGAGACACATTCTTTGCCTCAGAAGGTCTATCTTAAAAGCATTGAATTCTGTGTGGATTTTTTCTAACTTTTTTTCCTTTTTCTGTTTCTCTTTTTTACATGCTAACTTTGGTGTAGCAGACCACTTGGGGATTGAATTCATGGGTAAGAGTAAACAATTTGCTCCTTACATATCCTGGAAAAGCTAAGTTTTATAATATACATAGTGCTCTCCTTCATCATCTGAATATAATAAACATGTCTCATTATCAAATGCTATTAGTAGTAAGAAAAGTTGTTGATTTTTCACTGCGTGATGACTCAAACTGAAATACTTTTAACTAACTATTGGGAAGGCAATTTAATGTTAACTACTGTTTCTGGAATCACAAAGAAGTTGGATTTCACTCCAGGCTTTGCCTGATTCCTCTAATCCTCAATTTTCTTATCTGTAAAATAGGGACAATAATAGCTCCCATGTTACTGCAGATATAAATTCCTTAGCACAATGTCTACAACATGGTGAACACTCAGCTAATGACAGAAAACTATGGGGATGGTAAAAAAAAAAAAAAAAAACTGTTGCTGTCAAGTCGATTCTGACTCACAGCAACCCTGTAGGACAAAGTAGAACTGCCTTATAGGGTTTCCAAGGAGCAGCTGGTGGATTCAAACTGCCAGCCTTTGGTTAGCAGCTGTAGCTTGCTGTATCTCTTAACCACTGTGCCACCAGGGCTCCAGACATTAACAACTAGAACCCAAAATATTATGGCAACTCAAACACAGTAGCAGTTAATTTCCTGATACTATTTATTCCCTGTGCAAAGTAGGTGTTCCTGGTCAGCAGCCGACTGGCTTTCATCAAAGTAGTGAATAAAGGACCCAGGCTCATTCTATCTGTGGTTCCATTATCACCCAGGATTTCCTTGTCATCTGCATCTAGCCAACAGATGGAGAAAAGAGAACATAGTAGATACATGCTCACTTCTTGAAAGCCTTGGCCTAAATGGGCTCACATCACTTTTCTATTCATATTCTACCAGTAGAACTCATTCACATGACAACATCTTACTGCAAGAAAGCCTGGGAAATCGAGGCCTCCTGGTGCTGAGGAACAAGGGGACATAGATTTTCAGTAATCTCTGCCACAGGGTGTATGACATGAAATGTAAAGAAACAGGATCTTTCCACAAAAAGGGAAGAGAAAGTGTACTTTAGGAGCCAGGAATTTTGAGATGTGAGAAAATATGAACAGCTTCTGAGAAAGGGAGAGAAAAATTGGATTTCTCAGGTAAAATCTGGGTTTCAGTTAAAATTAACACAGTGCCATCAAGTCGATTCCAACTCATAGCGGCCCTACAGGACAGAGTGGAACTGCCCTATAGGGTTTCCAAGGCTGTAAATCTTTACGGAAGCAGACTGCCACAGCTTTCTCCTGTGGAGCGGCTGGTGGATTCAAACCACTGACATTTTGATTATCAGCTGAGCACTTTAACCACTGTGCCACCAGGACTCCTATCTCAGCTGAAATAGGAGGAAAAAAAAAAAAAAGAGAGAGAGAAGAGATTGAAAATGTAGGGAATATTACTGGATGTGGTTCAGCAATTTCTGAGAGGCAAGTGGAGGGTTAATGCAGTAGAGAAAGGGTAGAAAGATGGGCCATGGGCCAGAATTTACAGAAAAGAATGTTTCTGTTTGTGCAGTAAAGCATACATTGTTTGTTGAGGAGAGCATTCTTCTCATTCTCTGACGACAACAGGGATGCAAGGCATGGCAGTATGAGCATCAACAGTTATGCTGAGCAAAGTGAGCCTTGGGTTTAGCGGCCAGAGAAATTTGCTGCATGGGCTGTGGTGTTTCAGGCTTGGAGACAAGAGGCTCTCTAAATTGTGTATCTAGAATGACTGCAGAGAAAGGAAACACCACGTAACCGGTCCCACAATCAGTGTGGCCATGGTGATAGCAACCCAAAATTGTTACACAACTGTTAATTCTAACAGTTAAAATAAAGGAACCAGCCTCCATCCTACTAGGCCTTTCCTGGAGACCTCCAGCAACACTGGTAACTTATTGGATAACAATCGAGATATGCATTAAGAGGTCTGTCTTAGAACTCATTTAAAGAAATTTATTTACTGGTACAGGAAAAAAAAGTTACACTGCAGTTCATCCATATAAATCTCAAGAGAAAGCTTCTATAGTAAGTCTTATAAATGTCAGAGTCAAGACACAGCTATAAAATCTCTCCGGAAATGAGTCCTGAGTCTGTGAAGAGTTGACTGCAGCACTAGGGATTGCCTTGGCGCTAACTCAGACTTAGAGTGTGGGTAGTGTGCACATAAATAATGGCAGTTAACAAAGGGTTGTTTGTAACGGTGAGTAGGTTTATACACTTGGTGACCTCACCAGCTCTAGACACCGTTCACCCCCACAGGTTGCTTGAACTTAATATGTCAAATTCTGTTTGCTTACTTCGGGAACAAATATTTTCAGACTTAACTTGTGATTGTAGAATTTGTATGAGTAAATTTCCTTCTATTGAATGTGACGTCATCCCAGTAATACAGCCTCTCAGATAGTAAATTAAGCTGGGAAGCAGACATGTAGGCATAGTCTGTGTCTTAGGGTTCGCTAGAGAACAGAACCAGTAAGGCAGATAGATATAGACAGAGACATTTACTTCAAGAAATAGTCTCTCACCATTGTGGGGGGCTGGCAAGTCCAAAATCCGTAGGTTAGACAGCATGTTGGAAATGCCTAAGATCCGTAGGTCAGGCAATGGGAAGAACGTAAAATTCTACAAAATATCTATATTCTTGAGGTCAAACAAACACTAGGAAAATTCCCTTTTCAATTGATCGATTATATTATATTAGCTTACATTATGGAAAGTAATAACATCATAATTTACATTAGATTACATCATGGAACAGTAACTAGACTAGTGTTTGGTTAAACAACTAGGCAAATTGACGTAAAAAAATTAAACCTGTTGTTGTGTGGTGTCAAGCTGGTTCTGACTCATAGTGACCCTATAGGGCAGAGTAGAACTGTCCCATAGGGTTTCCAAGGCTGTAATCTTTACAGAAGCTGGTTGCCACATCTTTCTCCAGAGGAGCAGCTGGTGGGTTCTAACAGCTGACCTTTCAACTAACAGTTGAGAGCTTAACCACTATGCCACCAGGGCTCCTTAAAATTAACCATAATATTGTCTATAAATTTAACCATGTTTATTTATTTGTAGGCCTATGATTGATCAGTGCTGGTTCTGTTTTAATGAATTATTGAATAATATTCTCAATTTTCATCCTTCTTGCTTTTGGGTAATGTTAATTTCATCTTTCCTTGAGTTGGAACAGAGATCACAGATAACGATCTGAAACACTCAATTGTCTTTGCTCCAAGCCTTTGTACTCCCAGTTGCCTGAACTACATGCACTCTTATAAATCAAACTGAATGTTATACAGTTTAGTAAATTCATCTTTATAGTGGGGCGCTCCAAATCGTATGCTGCATGAATCCTATTATTATTTATTCACATTATAAATATATTGAGGATGCAAATATATAATCCACATCTGTTAGCATACAAGGACTAATAATGAGAGAGAAAGCCACACATCATTGAAGTGATGTAATAATTGCTATGAAAATGGCATAGACAAGATACTATGAGGAAAAAAAGGGGTAGCAATTAAATGTGCTTGGGAAGATCAGGGATGGTTTCTCAGGGGAAGAGACACTTAAGCTGAGTCCCAGCCAAGGCCAATAAGCTACACTGAGTGATGCCATAGTCCCACATCTATACTAGCCACGTGTTGCTTCCACATTAGGGTGAGTCTTTCTAGTTCAGTCTTTTTATCTGAGTCCATGAGCTTCCTAGAGACACCAGGTAAGCGTGGATAAAGAATATCAACTTCGGTAAAAAAATAAATAACATTAAAAATCTTTTGACTTGATTTATTCATTTAAGGAATAATAAGTCTATCAAATGAGCCATGCCAAACATAATGTCTATAAAGCAGTCAACATTCAAAAAAATTTTCCCTTAGTTATATTTATGAAGTTTTTTTAATGTTGCTTCTGGGATAAGAACACGGAAATTTCAACAAAAAATAACTGCTCAAAAATATAGTATCTGTTAAAAAATAAACTGACATAATTAGAGCAAGAGTTGGGGGGGGGTGCTTCAAAACATAGCATTATGTTTTTGAAAAAAAAAGTAAAACCAATGAGTTTCTATTAAACTCATAACCAAAAAATATTTCTTGAATTTGTGAATTAACCTACTCATTTATTATTGTGTGACCAAAAATTGAAGTTTTAGGATCAGGTGTTGCACCTGTCCCTCACAGTGTAAAGGATCAGGTGATGGGCCAGGCAAGCATCTTTGCAAGCAAGGTATGCATGGCGCTGTGTGAGCACTCCAACTCATCATGCGGACCAGACAGGTGGCCAAAGGGCAAGTCAGGCCAGGCATGTTTGAAAGATGTATCTATCGTAAAAAGAAGTTTTTCATCTGAAAATCTCGGACCACCATGGCAGGTGCTCAATCAGGGGACATATTTCGTTATATCCATTTGAACTATTTGTTACACAGCTGTTTCTCTGACAATGTCCTGATGCTCTAGGCATCAAAGACCTTTGTATGAAAGCAGGTGCAATGTCATTGGCAAACATATTAGCAAACCACATGGTGAGCTGAAGATTTGGAATTTGCATGAATCTTTCATGCAAATTCCATTCATTCTCATCTAGAAAAAGGAAATGAACTCTGTTAGTGAAATGTCTTGTTTGTGATTTGACATTGTTTTTTGGATAGCATAATTTATGCAAAGTCTGATCGAGTAAACTCTGGTGTAAATTGTTTTAAAAATCAGATTTGTAAAGCTAGAGGAAAATCATATTCTTAACTAAAATCTGGAAAATTCATTCTAAGATAATTTCTGTATTTTTAGATTAAAAAAAGGAAGAAAAAAGGAAAAGAAACACTGAGTTGTTTATAAGGAGAGGTCTAGAAAAGGGATATACTCACACTCTATGACCTCAAATATATGTAATAGATTGAGAATTGATAAAGTTATTACTTCAGATTTCCTCATATATTGAGTATCCCTTCATCCTTTCATGTAAACCACATTAACTTTGAGAGTATTTTGATGAA